GGTTCTATCGAACCCGTAGCTTTGAGGCTAGCTCCGCCCCGAAGTGAATACATGTGACACTATGAATTGGTCCCCTCTTTAAGATGATGTTCATACCAGTTTGCATGCAACTTGAACTATTTTACTGTATACTCATTACAAACATTAATTTCTTTTTATGAAGAGTTAGATAGATAGATGAAAAGAAGTCACCTAGCGTTATTTTAAATTGGTGTGCTCTCTCCTTAGGCAATGCATTATTAATTGTTGGATTTTTAGAATAATTTGGTACCTTATTTATGTGATAAAAAGCATATAGTAAAATTCAATAACTCTAATTCCTTTTTGTTTACATTTTACCTTTTGATCATGAATAGGAGGTTTTGGAAGCTATCTTTTTGGCATGAGTGAAGGTATTGCTAAGCAATCAACAGAAGCAAATGCTGCAGATAATGTCAAGAACCCTTCTTTGGGATGGATGATAACTTTCCTCTTTGTTGTTAGCTTTCTTGGGCTTTTCTCTGTTGTTCCGCTTCGTAAGGTAAATTCGACATCTCTAATGCATATGTATGACATATTTTCTAGCACGACGACATACACTTGTATGTAGAGTTTGTAACACTAGAAACACACCTCGAAATTTATGAGTCAGTTGTCATGTGAACGAAATTTTGATAGGCAAGTTAAGTTGTTAGGCACCTTTTGACGATCATATTCAAACACTTGGTCTAGTTAGCTTTGAGGTGTGTTTTGATAAACAGTTTGTGATAGTTCAAACTGTTTATCAACATTGGTATCCGCGATATATTGATGCAATTGTTCTTCTTTTATTCATACGAATTGCATTGTTTGAGATAATGTGAATATATTCTCAGATCATGATCATCGACTTCAAACTGATTTATCCGAGTGGTACTGCAACTGCTCACCTGATCAACAGTTTCCATACTCCACAAGGAGCTAAGCTAGCCAAGTGAGTCTTTAATCTCGTACACGATTGTTAGTACATACACCATCAACGATTGTTTCTTATTGATGATTGTACTTACAGTTCTAATTGCTCGTCGCTGCAGGAAACAAGTAAAAGCTTTGGGAAAGTTTTTCACCTTCAGCTTCTTATGGGGCTTCTTCCAGTGGTTTTTTACAGGAGGGGATGGCTGTGGATTCGGGAGCTTTCCCACTTTTGGTCTCAAAGCCTTCGAGAACAGGTACGTTTGAATTTCCATTAATATCGACTTGTTTAGCTATGTTGCTCCGGCTCTCCAAAAATGTTATCACACCCGTGTCAGATCCTCAAAAAATGCACTACTTTTGGAGTATTTGGTATGCGCCTGGTGACATTTTTTGAAGAGCCCGAACAATATAGATGTTTCTGTACTCAATTGTGTAACTTGGAAGCACTATTTTTCAATGTTATCGACTTATTTCTGTGATCAACCAGGTTTTATTTTGACTTCTCCGCGACATATGTTGGTGTTGGAATGATATGTCCATATCTAATCAACGTATCGTTGCTAGTCGGAGCAATACTTTCGTGGGGTATAATGTGGCCTCTTATTGAAGACAGAAAAGGTCATTGGTACCCTGCTGATCAAAGTCCTAGCAGCCTTCACGGCATACAAGGTTATAGGGTACGCAATCAAAATGACACGCGATGTTTTTTAATTAGCTCGATCAGATAAAAACTGAAATTGAGGCTAATGGATTTTCCGCGATGCTCTTGTAATGCAGGTGTTTATAGCAATAGCTATGATCCTTGGTGATGGTCTTTACAACTTCATCAAAGTACTGGGACGAACATTGTATGGTATATATTGCCAATTCTACGAGAAAAAAACAGGTTCAGTCCTTCCTGTTGGTGCCCGTGCATCCCCTGCAGAGGCATCTCTGTCTTATGATGATCAGATACGAACCGAGCTTTTCCTCAAGGATCAAATCCCTACGTGGGTTGCTATAGTCGGTTATGTTAGCATTGCCATCATCTCCACGATAACGCTTCCACACATTTTCCATCAACTTAAGTGGTACTACATCGTGGTGATATACATTTTTGCACCAGTACTAGCCTTCTGCAATGCTTACGGATGTGGTCTGACTGACTGGTCATTGGCATCAACGTACGGGAAGCTGGCAATCTTCACTATCGGGGCATGGGCTGGGGCTAGTCATGGTGGTGTTCTAGCAGGATTAGCTGCTTGTGGTGTCATGATGAACATAGCCACAACTGCATCTGACTTAACACAAGACTTCAAGACGGGTTACATGACGTTGGCTTCTCCTAGGTCGATGTTCATAAGCCAGATAATCGGAACAGCAATGGGGTGTGTCATTTCCCCTTGTGTATTTTGGCTATTCTACAAGGCGTTCCACGACTTAGGGGTTCCAGGTTCAGAGTACCCTGCACCTTACGCTATAGTCTATCGTAACATGGCTATATTGGGAGTGGAAGGCTTCTCAGCTCTACCAAAGAATTGTCTCACATTATGCTACATATTCTTCATCGGAGCTATTGCAATCAACGCGTTAAGGGATGCTCTAGGAAAGAACAAGGCAAAGTACATTCCTATTCCGATGGCAATGGCTATACCTTTCTATCTAGGATCATACTTCACCATTGATATGTGTCTCGGAAGCCTGATTTTGTTCATCTGGACAAAGATAAACAAGGCTAAGGCCGATGCATTTGGACCAGCTGTCGCGTCTGGACTAATTTGTGGCGATGGAATCTGGACCTTGCCTAGTTCAATCCTAGCTTTATCAGGTGTGAATCCGCCAATTTGCATGAAGTTTCTATCAAGGAAGGACAATATCAGAGTAGATAAGTTCATGAAGCCTTGAAGACGTTAACGTGTAGGTTTTATCGCGTTCTTATTGTTCTGTTTTTCCTCTGTATGTTCGCGTTTTCCATGAAGATTGTTTGATGTTTATATAGCTATGAACGTGCCATAAAGATAGAAGTAAAATTTACGTAGAGAACATGTTGATCTTCATATGTCAAGTTGTAAATGTGATATATTTAAAGTACACTACATAAGTTTATTGTACTATGTCAGGTCAGACGTAGTTCATTACAAGAGATAATTTTTCTAACTACAGAACATAAGACGATTACAAATGTGATTACAGGGAAAGAAGTAAAAGAAACTCTGAATCTTCAAATATAATAGCTCTTGATAGCATCTGCGTCAGTTGGCAACTTGAGATGAATGTTTATGCTCAACTACGACATGTCATCAATACATCGATGATGTATTGTCTAAGCAAACTGATGAGTTTTCTTTTCTGAGCTTCCGTCAGATAGATATTGATTCGTGTTTCTTTGACACATTCATTTTCTTCTAGATTCACAATTTCTGTCTCATCTAGATTCGACTTATCGAGATTCTCGAACTGTTTCAAATCTTTGAAAATGTGTTAGAATATCATGATCTCCTCTTCATGCTCTTCAAACTCATCTTCATCTACCTCATTTAGATAATATGCATTTTGTAAATAATTCAAAGTTACAAAATACAGTTTAAACTAAAGATTTTAATGTAAAATTAAGGGTCGAGTTGTTACATTTCTTTTTAATAAATTTAATGATAATGTCCCGTTGCAATTTGGGGATGTGACATTTTAGTATAATACTATACTATTTTTATATATAGTTGGAATAGGAATTCTAAGTTGTTTAGGATTTGCTATGTTAATATTTATTTAATTAGTGTCTAGTTATGAATATATATTTTCTAGTCTCTGTTTAATTTGGTTGGTTACTATTATAAATAGGAATGTTGTTAGTTATTTTCAATATACATAATAGATAGAACTTGAAGTAAGATTCAAGAACTTTGAGTTTATAAATAAAATATTTTCCTTCATATACTCTACTAAATGACTGTCAATAAAACTTATTTTTCCTACTTTCATTAACGAGCTCATTTTCTTTATTTTTAAGTAGCTTGTATTTCGTAGAAAAAATATTTGACCATACCAAACACACCTATAATATGGTAAGTTACAAATTTTCTCTTAAAAAAAAGAGGTCGGCAGGGATAGTACAATAGAGTAAGCCTTTTAATTTGTCATTATAACAAAGTTCACTCCTCTAAGTTTTATGGCAAATGAGAAACCGAAAGTTAATTGAAATATTTGAATTTTCTTTAATTCCCAACGAAGGAAACGAAACGATCCCCACAAAAAATCACTTTCAAAAATAGTTATTTTCTACAGTTCCCTATATAGGATTTCACTTTTTTCCACACCAATTTAATTTCTTTCTTTTTGATTATGTTGCACTAAAAGTATATTAGTCTTAATATAAATAATTTTTAGATCAATACACCATAGCAGGTTACTTACATTATATAAATTTAAACTCATTATTTTATTTTATACTAGTACTACCAAGTAAAGTTACTTATTCTTTTAACTATATTCTTACCAAGTTAACAAGTCTTAATATACGGTAACCTTAGTTAATTTGTTGTAGCATGCTAAGTATTTCATCTTGATCACTTTTATTTGTCTAATATATTAAAAATTATAAGATGTATATATATAGGTCGTCTTTTTTTTTTTCATGTGTATATATTAAAACTTGAATATTCTTAACGAATTTTCTGACTTTGCTATTGATTATATTCATTACTCTTTAAAGGGTATGATAAGTTAATATTGAACGAATAAAAATGAACGGAGGATGACTTACTATTTGCCCTTTTATATATAGTTTAAGACTTCGATTCTAAGTCTTCCTTATAACTTCTCATCATCTTCCTCTTTCTTCCTTTTAGCCTTTGGAATCTTTGTCACTTTTGGTACAGTATATAAACACTGATATGGACATCAACATGTAATATTATTAATATAAATATACAACTTTCCTTTAAGTTTTGGCAAACAAAAAAATGAAAAAAACTATATATTATAAGTTTTCCTTGTAACTTCTCTGTTTTTTTCCATCTATTTTAGTTGTTGACTATTAGTCCACCTTGTTGAAGGTCTTTATAATCTTTATTCCACACTTCTTTCTCCTTTTTATCTTATGATTGTACGAAATAAATTATTCTCCTACATTAAAGTTACTTATCATTTTTCACATATATTTTTACTAAACTTTCATCATTTTTGTTGAATGCAGCAGCAGAGAATATTTTGTTGCTTCAATATAATATAAAGTTATAAGTAACTAAAAGATCATAATCCTAGAAGAAGAAGAAATACAAAGGTAAAGTTTTTATTTTTTTTATTTTTTATCTATTTGTTCTTGCATGTTGATGATCATGATGATGATGTACATGTTGTTGTTTTTTTAAATTTTTTTTTTGTATAAATTTGATTAATACTAGGGGAAAATGGCAACTACTACAAAGAAGAAACCAGAGAAAACAATTCCTGGCTTAGTGGATTTGGTGTTTTCTTGGTCTTTAAAGGATGTGTTGAACAAAGATCTTTACAAAGACAAGGTTTGAATTCATCTTTCTTTTTGTTCATGTTGCTCAGACTCTTTGAAAATGTTGATGAGTGTTTGTTGGATCTTTAAAAAGTATAATGTATTTTAGAGGATCAGACACATGTACGATAACATTTTTGGAGAATCTGAGCAATATATGATAGCAAGCTATGTGTTAACTTATATATGAACACATCTTCTTTTGTTTTTACATACTTTGAGTCAAAATCAATGTGTTTAGTTGGTTGAAACTTGAAAGCTATGTTGCTCCGACTATTTAAAAATGTTATTAGGTGCATATTGGATCCTCTTAAAATAGTGCATTTTTGGATGATCTGACATGGGTACAACAACATTTTTGGAGAGTCCGAGCAACAATATAAGTTGTTAACATTTCATGTCTCATGTAGTTTCATGAATTTGTACTATAATTGTAGTTTGGAACTTTTGTGTCAAATTTATTGTAATTGGTTCTGTTTTGATATGTTAGGTGAAAGAAATTCCAGAGACATTTGTGTCAATTGATCTTTATTTGAAGTCATACATTACTCCACTAGTTGAAGAAACACATGCTGATTTGCTATCAAATGTGTCCACAGTTTCGCGGGCACCTGCTCTCGAGGTTGTTGATGTTAAAGTATCAAAAGATTTTAAGCCTCCGAAAGGTTTATATTACAATATTTTGTTGAAAAGAAATCAAAAAATAGAGGTGGGAGAGAATAGTGAATCGAAGCATGAATCAAACTATGAACCAGAAGTTGGTGATCTGATTGCTCTAACAGATGTGAGACCACGAAGAATCGAGGATTTAAATAGGCCTAAGAGATCGTTCCTAATTGCTATAGTTCAAGGTATGAATGATGATGGCTATAGAATACCTATCTTGTCTTCACAGCTTATTCCGTTTAAGAAACCGGATAGGGCAACAGGTGAACAAGGGGACAAGCTTTTTATTGTCTATCTTTCTAATTTGACAACAAACATTCGAATATGGAATGCATTGAATCCAGACCGGGAAAATTCAAACTTTAATATCATTAAGACCGTGATGAGAAGTGATGATTCGAATGTTGTAAGTACTTTTTTCAACTTTACTGTTATAGTGATCATACGTGAAATTAAATCATTAGTCTAACATCTAATGTACATTTCGTTTGTAGGGTGAAGTAGACTGCTCCCTTTGTTCCGTTAGAGAAACAGAAACTAATATTGCTATATCAAGTTCAAGAGCCATTGCTCAGTATTTCGAGCTAGATAGTGCTCAACAAGAAGCTGTTGTAAGTTGTGTTGCTACAAGAGAATGTGCTCATCGGAACAAGGTTAAGCTAATTTGGGGTCCTCCAGGAACTGGAAAGACAAAAACAGTTGCTTCTTTACTTTATGTCCTGTTAAAGATGAGATGCAGAACTTTGACTTGTGCGCCAACGAATGTTGCTGTGTTGGGAGTGACTAAGAGGCTGATGCAGAATGTACAGAGTTGTTTGCATTATGACACGTATGGTTTAGGAGATATTGTCTTATTTGGTAATGGGGAACGAATGAAGATCGATGATCATGAAGATCTGTTTGATGTCTTTCTTAGTAACCGTGTTGCTGCTCTTGCTAGCTGCTCGTCTCCGATTAGTGGGTGGAGAATTGGTATACAGTCCATGACATGTTTGCTCGAGAATCCTGAAGAAGAATATCGTAAGTACTTGGAAAAACTAAAGGACAAGGACCGTGACAGTGATGATAATGCGGAGATAGATGATGAGGTAGGGGAAGAAAAAGGAAGTGTTACTAGTCAAGAATCTAGTTTGAGCAATGATCAAGGACTCGACAAAAATAAAAAGAGTAAGTTATGGAAGAAATTTGTTGTTGATCCCTTAAAAGAGAACAAGAAGAAAGATAAACAAAATTCTCAAAGGGATAACAACTCGAAAGGTGGTGAAAAAGCAAACAAGGTTAAGAACAAAGGGGAGGTGAGCAGCAAAGAAGTCATTGTGTTGACACTTGATGAGTTTGTCAACAAAAGATTCAAATGTATCCAGAATCAGTTAACATTTTGCATAACGAGCTTGTATACGCATCTACCTACTACTATCATTTCACTAGAAGTAGCTAAGGAGATGATCAGACTACTTGAGATGTTTCAAACTCTTGGAAAATTGTTTGCTACTGTGGAACAATCTGAAGGATTTGCTACAAAGAATAAGACAAGACGTTTAAATATTCGTACAACTAAAACAGAATGCCTAAAAGTGTTGAAATTTCTTAATGAAAGCATCTCTCTACCCAATTTCATTGAGGACTACCAAATTAGAAGTTTTTGTCTGAAAGGTGCATGTTTGATTTTCTGCACGGCTTCTAGCTCGATAAAGTTGAACACGGAAGGAATGACACCACTGGAGATGGTGGTTATTGATGAAGCTGCTCAGCTGAAAGAATGTGAATCCACTATTCCGTTACAACTCCCTGGTCTCCGCCATGCTATACTCATCGGTGATGAAAAACAACTGCCTGCTATGGTTCAGAGCAAGGTTATAAGTTAATCTCTTTATAACTTGTTTTTTTAATTTACTGTGCTGCTCTTTTGTCATTGACAGCTAGTATCCGTTATATACAGATTTGCGAGAAGGCTGAGTTCGGGAGGAGCTTATTTAAGAGGCTGGTAATTTTAGGACACAAGAAGCACCTTCTTAATGTTCAATATAGGATGCATCCAAAAATAAGTTTGTTCCCAAACAACGAGTTCTATCAGAAGAAAATTATGGATGGTCCTAATGTGAAATCAGCTGCATATGAGAAGAGATTTCTTACTGGAGATATTTTTGGCTCGTATTCATTTATTAACGTAAGTAGTGGAAATGAAGAGCAAGATGAAAGACACAGCACGAAAAATAAGGCAGAAGCTTTCGTTGTAGCTGAGATTATTGCCAACCTTCATAAAGGTATGTAACACATGACTTATCTGTCAAGGATTTAATTTATATGTTTTTTATTCTTTCTAGTTGGCATACTTGATAGATATTATCTTACCTACAGAATCTATCTCTTCGAAACAAAAAGTTCGTGTTGGTTGTATATCTCCTTACAAGGCTCAAGTTTTTGCTATTCAACAAATTCTTGGCAACAAATATAGCACAGATGTTAAGAGTGACTTCTCTGTGAATGTACGCTCCGTTGATGGTTTTCAAGGTGGTGAAGAGGATGTGATAATTATATCCACTGTTCGTTGTAATGGCAATGGATCGGTTGGTTTCCTCTCGAATCTTCAAAGGGCAAATGTAGCATTGACTCGAGCAAGGTACTAATTTGGTGAACAGCATTTTACATTTCAAAATGTTTGAACATAAAGGATGATTTTCGGACTTCTTAATTGTTCACTTTGATACTTATGCAGGTATTGCCTTTGGATATTGGGAAATGGCACAACTTTGGTTAACAGTGGTTCCATATGGAGGAAGTTGGTCATTGATGCCAAGGTTCGCGGTTGTTACTTTGATGTTACTGAAGACAAGCGATTGAATCAAGCAATTTTGAACGCGGCCATTGAACTTGGCAAGCTAGAAACATTACTCAAAACAGATTCTCCTATATTTCAATCAGCCAAATGGAAGGTATGTTGCTTCATTTGGCCTATAATATGAATATTTGAGTTCTGTTTGCAAATGGAGAAACAACGAGTTCATTGCTGTTTTAACTTAACAGGTTATATTTAGTAAGGATTTCTCAAAATCCATTGCCAGAATTAAGGATGTTGAGATAAGTAAAGAAGTGATTTCCCTTTTGGTGAAGCTTTCGAGTGGTTGGCGTAAGTCAGAAAAGAACCACAAAGGCGGAAATTCTTCTGTACTGTTGGAGGAGTATGTTGTCAAGCACCTAAAATTGATTTGGACCATAGATATTCAGCAGCAGAACTCTACATACCTTCAAGTACTAAAGATATGGGACATTTTACCAGGAAATCATATACCAAAATTTGCAAAGAATCTCGACATACATTTTGGTCAATATACCGTTGATATGATGAATCGATGCAAATACAAACGTGTGGAACGGTACAAACTGTCTTATATTGTTTCTCTGGTCTACATTTCTGCTGATTCTTACAAGTACATTTTAGGATAATCGAATTAGTACTCCACGTACATGTCTTAGTCACAAGTTTTCATTTTTCTGCAGAAACTTTGTATTTCCAATGACTTGGGTAATTGATGGAAATGTTGTCTCAACAACAACCTCAGCTCATAGTGACAGAGACGACAACTTGGCACGCCAATTGGCAGCTATGAATTTGAGGGATAAACCAGGATCGTCGAGAAGTTCCAAGTGAGTAGTACTACACGAAAAAAGTGAAAACAGAACTCTGATATATGTTTTTTTTTTGTGTTAGATTAGTCTTGTTACTAACTTTACTCAATTGTTATACCAGTAATTTTCAAAAGTCCAAGAAGAAGAAAGGAGAAGTGTTCCGCGAATCAAAACAGAACCAACTTGCTGAAGATTTCATGGAAAAATATACGCGCAACAAGTCCAAATAGAAAAGTCTAAACATCGCGTAATACAGGTAAAACATGAAACAGAAAAGAGTGACACTAAATATATTGCCATATCTACTACTTACTACATTTCAATGTAAGTTTCTTAGTTTGACTATCTACGAACTTTCTTAACATTAAATTCTCTGTTTTTTCTTGGCAGTTTGTTGCTTGAAAAGCTTGGTTTTTTGGTGCTATTCACTGCCTTCATCATGTTAATACTGCAACTGATCTGGTGATGATCCTCTAGTTTTTGAATCTGCGCGTTTGCTGAGATGGTGTCCAAGAGTACTGTAATTAATAGTTATGATATTGTTGAAGTGAAATGGCTTGTAAAATGGACACCCTGCTCTTTAAAATGTAGCAAAGACGTTATATATAATACAACTTGAAGGTCTTTGTATTTGATTGTGCCTACATTGTGTATTCCATACCATGGTTCATAGAATTGTAACGCGCATATTCCATCAATGAATTGAAGTTATGTACTTGGACAACATAACGATTTTGTTGCACCATTATTGTAATGTAATATGTTATAGCAGTTACTAATGCCATTCAGCTTCGGCAGAACCTAGTAGTTTTTGCTCAACCACATGATATGTGTAAATAATCGTCCAAATATCGTACCTATTATATATAGAGACATGGAAGATTAGTCGTCTAATTCAAATTCTTATTTCACAATTTGAAAAAGAACCAAATAACTCTTGAATTGTTGTTTTCCCAAAATTAACTAGGAAACTGTTGAGATTATAGCAGGCCTAGAAACGTTTTAGTTTATATCAGTTGATGGAAATGTATTTTTTTGAGTTATTAGTTGCAGGTTAATATGACTTATTGACCATCTTTTTTGATAACTTTTAAGGACTATTTGACTCTCTTAGACGCCCATATATATTTCTATAGTTGTCGATCAATAGTGAAATGTATTAAAAGTAAAAATGGACGGATGGAATATTTGAAAATAACATAACGATTCTATGCTTGAATTTACTGTCAAACTTAAAAGATTTGACTCTTAAAATCCGAAAAATGCCACATAATTAATTGAGACATATGGAATAGTAACTTTTAATTAATGTTGTAAATATAGGTATACCATCCATGCATGGAAATTGTGTAAACTCTATAAATTCCCAAGGAAGAAAATGAGGAGACTTTTGAAAGAAAAAAAAAAAACTCTTAATGAATCCACTTGTTATTTTTCCTGTTTTAATTTCCAATTTGCTTTGTCTAGTAGAAACTCCTAATCTCATAAGAAGAAATAAAAGGTAATTAAACTCCCTTCTTTAATTTTGTTCTTTCATGTGTAAGATTAAGATGTTTAATTAATTTATTTATTTTAATGACAATTAGGTGAAGATCATGTCAACAACAACAACAAAGAAGAAACCAATTCCTGGCTTAGTGGATTTGATGTTTTCTTGGTCTTTTAAGGGATGTACTCAACAAAAATCTTTACAGAGACAAGGTTTGAATTTTTACTTTTCTGGTAAGCCAAGCAATTATTGTTTACAAAATGCCTGTGCTCATCTAAGGATTTTAAAATATGAATAAGTAAACACAAAAAAACCTCAAGGGATTATAACATCTATAGTAATTTAACATAATATATATAGTGTAAATAAGAATTAATCTATATATAGTTAATATAAATATTATTAATACACTCTATTTAACGTTATTTTTATACATGCCAAACAGCCAATTTACTCATAGAAAAAGAGGTCGGCAGGAAAACAAAGTTGCACATAGTACAATAGTAGCTTTTAATTTGTCATTATAACAAAGTTTTATGGCAAATGAGAAAACAAATGTTAATTGAAATATTTGAATTTTCTTTAATTCCCAACGAAGGAAACGAAACGACCCCCAAAAAATCACTTTCAAAAGTAGTTATTTTCTACATTTCCCTAAATAAGATTTCACTTTTTTCCACATCAATTTAATTTCTTTATTTATTTTTTTGTTATGTTGCACTAAAAATATATTATTAATATATAATATTTTTACGTTATCAAATCAATATACGTACAATTTATTATAACACGTACGTAACTCACTTTATAAAAACTTAAACTCATTATTTTATACCTGCAGTACCAAGTAAAGTTACCCATACTTTAACTATATTCTTATCAAGTTAACAAGTCTTAATATACGGTAACCTTAGTTAATTTTTTATTTTTTTTTAAATTTATACCACTAGACAGAGTGTCTAGCAGTTTTTTATTAAAACAAAAATCCTCAACAGAAATAGGTACAAGCAAGGGGAGCTAGGCCTTACCTTATCAATCCTATGAGGTAACATACCTCTACTAATTAACAAGCATGAAGAAAATAAGAGCTAGAGAGAACTAGATATTCTATGATCATCACAGAATTCATAATACACTCTATGATGATATTACAAATGAGAATGCTTAAATAATGCACAAATATAAAATCCAAGAAGAAAGTTTACTTTTACAAATGTGTGAATTTAAAATGATAGATTGCCCATCTAAAGTAACCTGAAGTATTTTCCTCTTGTCTTCTTCTTCAAATATGTCCAACAAAATTTGATACTTCATCATTGCTTTTTAAATGTATTGGAGCTTGTTGAACCTATTGACACTGTCATATGATTTTGCTTTGCCAGTCGCATCTGCAGGTGCCTTGGAACAAAATCTCCTGTCACTTTACCATCCCAACTGTGTTGTCTTCCATGTGTCTTCTTTTTGTTTTTGTTGCTTCCACTTCTTTGATGCCTAGGTGAGATATCCCCATCTCTAGCCACTTTATCAAAGCATATGTCCAACATATCCTCATCCTCATCCTCATCCTCATCAAAGAATCATCGCCCAAATCACTAGCATAAGCATTAATTGGACTAAATCCTGATGCTAATACCTCTTGTTCATTCTTCTTTGCAATTGTACTTTTAGGTACAAATTCTAGAGCTTGTGGACTCAATTTTCTATTCAAAAGAGGAGGTGAAACATGCTCTTCTTCATCAACCAAATCAGCCCACCTAGGAGTACTCATCTCCCCTTGTTGTTTTTCTTTCGAAATTAACAAATCATTTGTAAAATTAGCTTGAGAGAGTGGTGACATACCTTTCGCCAAATTAGTTAATTTGTTGTAACATGTTAAGTATTTAATTTGTATCACTTTTATTTGTTCAATATATTAAAAATAAATATCTATCATTATTTATCACTTAATATCTAATTTATTCTTATTAGTAACTATAATCATTCCTCAATAGAATTTTCAAATTAAAACATTGTATTTATTATATTCAAAATGGTGACTAGTTGAACACCATTCGTTGTAAAAGTATGCATATCGAAAATTATAGGATCTATATATGTCATCTTTTATTTTCTTTATGTGTATATATTAAATCTTGAATATCCTTAATGAAATTTCTGACTTCACTACTGATTATATTCATTTCTCTTTAAAAGATGTGATAAATTAATACTGGACAAATAAAAATGAGCGGAGGATGTTTCCCTTTTATATATAGTTTAAGACTTCAATTCTAAGTCTTCCTTATAACTTCTCATCATCTTCCTCTTTCTTACTTTGGAATATTTGTCACTTTTGGTACAGTATATAACCACTGATATTGACACCAACATGTAATATTATTAATATAAATATACAACTTTAATTTCCTCTAAGTTTTGGCAAACAAAAAAATGAAAAAAAAAAACTATATATTATAAGTTTTCCTTGTAACTTCTCTGTTTTTTTTCATCTATTTTAGTTGTTGACTATTAGTCCACCTTGTTGAAGGTCTTTATAATCTTTATTCCACACTTTTTATCCTTTTTTATCATATGATTGTACGAAATAAATTATTTTTTTACATTAAAGTTACTTGTCATTTTCCACATATATTTTTACAAAACTTTCATCATTTTTGTTGAATGCAGCAGTAGAGAATATTTTGTTGCTTCAATATAATATAAAGTTATTAGTAACTAAAAGATCATAATCCTAGAAGAAGAAGAAATACAAAGGTAAAGTTTTAATTTATTTATTTTCCTTATATTTGTTCTTGCATGTTGATGATGTACATGTTAATTTTTATTTATTTTTTATTTTTTAAAATATTTTTGATTAATATTAGGGGAAAATGACAACTACTACAAAGAAGAAAACAATTCCTGGCTTAGTGGATTTGGTGTTTTCTTGGTCTTTAAAGGATGTGTTGAACAAAGATTTTTACAAAAGACATAAGAAGAAGTAAAAGGTAATTAAAGTCCCTTCTTTAATTTTGTTCTTTCATGTGTAAGATTAAGATGTTTAATTAATTTATTTGTTTTAATGACAATTAGGTGAAGATCATGTCAACAACAACAACAAAGAAGAAACCAATTCATGGCTTAGTGGATTTGGTGTTTTCTTGGTCTTTAAAGGATGCACTCAACAAAAATCTTTACAGAGACAAGGTTTGAATTTTTACTTTTCTAGTAAGCCAAGCAATTATTGTTTACAAAATGCGCGTGCTCATCTAAGGAGTTCAAAATATGAAGAAGTAAACACAAGAAAATGTCGAGGGATTATAACATCTACTATATATAAAGTAATTTAGCATAATATATATAGTGTAATTTTCTGTCGAAGGAAATTCAGATGAACCCCTTGCACATGCGAGGCTCCTCCCATGGTCATCAAGAGAAGTTAACTTTTTGTTGTGACTTTTAGTGGTTACCAGATCAAATCCAGTAGTTTTGGTCCAAATCTTGTATTTAATAATCTCGAATCCATAAACTTCAAATCGTGGCTCTCCCTTATTCCTTTGTATGTGATTTGTCAAGTTATTAATTAATACTATGTGTGTTACAGGTGAAAGAAATACCAGAGACATTCATATCGATTGATCATTACTTGAAGTCATACATTACTCCACTAGTTGAAGAAACACATGCTGATTTGCTCTCATGTATCTCCACAGTGTCGCGAGCCCCTTTCGTTGAGGTTCTTGATGTTGTAAAATCAGTAAACTTTGAGGCTCCCAAACATTTATATTACCAAATTTTAATTAAGAGTGCTACAGAGGGAGAGAAGATTGAAACACAATATAAACCAGAGAATGGAGATTTGATTGCATTATCAGATGTGAGACCACGAAGAATCGATGATCTGAACAGACCTCAGAGATCTTATCTCATTGCCATTGTTCAAAACATGAACGATGAAGACGATGAAGAGTGGATACCTATACTGTCTTCAAATCTTATTCCGTTTCAGCAACAAGGGGACAAGCTTTTTGTGGTCTATCTTTCTAATTTGATAACAAATATTCGAATATGGAATGCTTTGCATTCAGATCCTGATAATGCAAATCGGAAGATCATTAAGACTGTGTTGCAAAATGATGTAACTAATGTAAGTTATCGGCTATGTGTTTATGTCACAAGTCATTTCCGGGGAAATATTTTCCATGAAAAATGACTTTTGTCGTACTAAACACACTCATCACAGTTTTTTCCTTCTTAATCTTGTTAATCTAGCATTCATGTTGAGCTCTACTAAATTTTGATCAATTGCAGGGTGAAGTAGACTGCACACGTTGCTCCGGTAAAGAAACTAAAACTGATGTTATATCAAATTCAAGTGGCATCATTCAGTCATTTGGTCTAGATGATGCTCAACAAGAGGCTATTCTAAGTTGTATCGCAACAAGGGAATGTGATCATCGGAATATGGTTAAGCTAATTTGGGGTCCTCCAGGAACCGGGAAGACTAAAACAGTTGCCTCTTTACTTTATGTGCTGCTAAAGATGAAATGCAGAACTTTGACATGTGCTCCAACAAACATTGCTGTTTTGGGAGTTGCAAAGAGGTTAATGCAGCATGTACAAGACGGTCTTGAATATGACACGTATGGTTTAGGAGACATTGTTGTATTTGGAAACGGGGAAAGAATGAAGATCGGTGATCATGAAGATCTGTTTGATGTATTTCTTGAGAACCGTGTTGATGTTCTTGCTAGCTGCCTGTCAGCAAAAGATGGGTGGAAAAGTAGTGTACAATCCATGATATGCTTGCTCGAGGATCCTGAAGAGAAATATCGTAAGTACTTAGAAAAAGATGAAAGTAAGGAACATGACACAAATGGTAATAAGGATACAAATGATGATGATGACAACGAAGAGGAAGTAAAAGGTAGCGTTAGCAATGATGAATCTAGCTTGAGCAACAAAGATGGGAAGATCAATGCTCAAGGACTAGTAGATAAGCATAGGAAGAATAAGTTGTGGAAGAGATATGTTCTTGAACCCTTAAAAGAGAACAAGAAGAAGGGTTCGAAAGATAAAAAAAGTTCTCAACGGAGGAACAACTCGAGAGCAGAAGGGGATTCAAGTAACAAAGAAGCCAATGTTTTGACATTTGAGAAGTTTGTTATCAAAGAATTCAAATGGTTCATTAACCATTTATTATTTTGTCTGCCAAGTTTGTATACACATGTACCTACATCTTTCATGCCACTAGAAACGGCTAACGTAATGTTCAGACTTCTTAAGAATCTTCAAACTCTTGAAACATTGTTTGCTACTACAGAAACATTTGAAAGATTTAAGGAAGTGCTACTTGGTATTGATACAACAAATAAGGCGAGGCGTTTTGCTAACTTGCATGAAAGTAAAACAGAATGCCTTGAAATGTTGAAATTCCTTAACGAGCATCTCTCTCTCCCCACTTTCAGTAAGTATTTCAAGCCCCCTATTCAGAGTTTTTGTCTGAAGGGTGCATGCTTGATTTTCTGCACGGCGTCTAGCTCATCAAAACTGAACATGCAAGGAATGCTACCACTGGAGATGGTGGTAATTGATGAAGCTGCTCAACTGAAAGAATGTGAATCCACTATTCCATTACAACTCCCTGGTCTTCGTCATGCTATACTCATCGGAGATGAAAAACAATTGCCTGCTATGGTTCAGAGCAAGGTTTTCAAATAGTCTTAGTATTGAATGTTCATAAATTACATATCTGCTCTTTCATAATTTACAATTAGTGTCTGTTGTTGACAGATTTGCGAGAAGGCTGAATTCGGGAGGAGCTTATTCGAGAGGCTGGTAGTATTAGGACACAAGAAGCACCTTCTTAATGTTCAATACAGGATGCATCCAAAAATAAGTCTGTTCCCAAACAACGAGTTCTATCAGAAGAAAATTATGGATGGTCCTAATGTGAAAGCTGAAAAATATGAGAAGAGATTTCTTACAGGAGATATTTTTGGCTCGTATTCATTTATTAACGTAAGTAGTGGAAATGAAGAACAAGATGAAAGACACAGCACGAGAAATAAGGCAGAAGCTTTCGTTGTAGCTGAGATAGTTGCCAACCTTCATAAAGGTACGTAACACATGAGTTATCTTTCGAGGATTAAATTTATATGTTTTTTGTTCTTTCTAGATAATCATCTTACCTACAGAATCCATCTCATCGAAACAAAAAGTTCGTGTTGGTTGTATATCTCCTTACAAGGCTCAAGTTTTTGCTATTCAACAAATTCTTGGAAAGAAATATAGTACAGATGTTAAGAGTGACTTCTCTGTGAATGTACGTTCTGTTGATGGTTTTCAAGGCGGTGAAGAGGATGTTATAATTATCTCTACTGTTCGTTGTAATGGCAATGGATCGGTTGGTTTCCTTTCCAATCTTCAGAGAGCAAACGTAGCATTGACACGAGCAAGGTACTGCCTTTGGATATTGGGAAATGGAACAACTTTGGTTAATAGTGGTTCCATATGGAAGAATTTGGTCATTGACGCCAAGGCTCGTGGTTGTTACTTTGATGTTACTGATGATAAACGATTGAATCAAGGAAGTTTGAACGCGACTATTGAACTTCAGCATATAGAAACGTTACTCACAACAGATTCCCCATTATTCCAAACAGCCAAGTGGAAGGTATATATGATGAATATTTAACTTCTCTTTTAGTCTTCCACGTGGCATGTTTAAGATCAAAACAGAACATTAAATGACATTTTGTACATTCTACATAACGGAGAAATAACATGTTCTTTGTTGTTTTAACTCAACAGGTTACATTTAGTGAGGATTTCACTAAATCCATTGCTAGAATCAAGGATGCTGAGATAAGTAAAGAAGTGATGACTCTATTGGAGAAGCTTTCGAGTGGTTGGCGTAACTCAGAAAAGAACAACATGTTCAACAACAAGAGCGGGAATTCTTCTGTACTGTTGGAGGTCTACAATGTAAAGCACCTAAAGTTGATCTGGACAATCGATATTCAGAAACAGAACTCGAGATATCTTCAAGTGCTAAAGATATGGGACATTATACCAGGATATTATATACCAAAGTTGGCAAAGGATCTTGACATCCATTTTGGTCAATATACAGTTGATATGATGAATCGTTGCAAATACAAACGTGTGGAACGGTACATAATGTCTCTCCTTTTTCCCCTCGATTTAGCTTTTATACACTGACAGAGTAAAAGAATTCCGGTTACCTAATAAATGTGTTAGTATATATATACTCCATGAACATGTCTAGTCGTCTCAACGTGCCAAGTTGTTGTCTTTACGACTAACTTCACCAATGTTCATTTTCTGCAGAAACATTGTATTTCCAATGACTTGGCTAATTGATGGAAATGTTATCTCAACAAGAAGAAGCTCAGCTAATAGAGACCAAGACGACAACTTGGCATGTCAATTGGAAGCAATGAATTTGAGGGATAAACCAGGATCTTCAAGACAGTAAACAGTGACACTAAATATAATGTCATATCTATTACTTCCTAACGTTTCAATTTGACTGTCTTAGTTTGACTAGATACGACATTTCTTAACGTTATATTATGTGTCTTCATCATGACTAGATACGACATTTCTTAACGTTATATTTTGTGTCTTCACCATGTTATAATAGCAGATTTGTTACAATTTGTTATAGGTTAACATTACATAAAGTTATTTGCAATTACCTTTTGAGTAATTTTTTATTGTGTTAATACTTTTATACTATTGTGTATATAACTTAACCTCATCTATTTGCTCAAATTCTCTATTTGCATCTAAAAATTCATGTAATATGTATAAATAATTTATCAAAAACCAAATAAGGTGTGTTTTTATAAAATCCTGAACCATAGACTCAAAATCCTAGCTCCACCGTGAAATAGTTGTAGATAAAAGTATGAATTTTGTTGACATCAAAGTGGACGTGCCGGAGTGGTTATCGGGCATGACTAGAAATCATGTGGGCTCTGCCCGCGCAGGTTCGAATCCTGCCGTCCACGCTTTTGTTTTTATTCCCTTTTTCCGAACAAATGATTCGATTTTAGACGATTTAACTCATCCATTTACTAACTCAGCTCATTTAAACTTGTTTATATTCAGCCTAATCGATTCATTTGACACCCTTATGTTTTAAAAATCCTTATAGTATCCTAACATCAGTTATATGTATCTAAAGTTTAACTCTAAACTTTTTACATAATATCTCAACTTCAATCATATATATATATAAAGTTACCTGACTATCTTAGTCAAATACGTTGAAGTGAAGTGTCTATTTTACAATCTCCATTTAAGCCTTATATATTTATGTATTTATAAATCATCACATTAAATATTAAATGAGAAGTCTGAAGTTAAATTGTTAAAACGAAAAATAGTAGAATTACATATTATTCATTGCCAGAATAAATAACTCAAGCCTTATTACACACGTGTACAATTATACAAATACTTAAAGATATTATTTTTTTATCATAATACATTTTGATAATTAAGGATGGCTTAATTATATTAATCCTTAGTTCCAGTACAAATTAATGATCCATCAGTTTTAAACAATTTACAACCTTCATCTGCTGTGCAACAATTGACACAAACTTGACTAATTTGTTCATCTCCAGAAGAGGGACAAGTCATGTAGGCCACTTCATCATCACAATATTGGAGACATGACTTGGCATTTGTATATTCCACTTGAATTCCCAACAAAAATATACCTATAAAAAAAGATATAAGATACATATTTAGTTTGAAAGCTTGATATGTGCAACAAATCAAAATTAGGGACGTTAAGATTAGCTCATGAAAATATATATGACTGGCGTGATCTGCTAGCTTATCCCATTTTGACTAAACATGTAGATTAAATTGATTTGTGAGAAATTCTATTAAAGTATCTTTAAAAAACTTGTTTACTAGTTGGACGGATTAAAAATTATCCATTTGTTTAGCTCATTATGATTTAGTCTATCTTAGCTCAAGTAAGGATCTATTTAATAACTCAGCCCATTTGACTTTTCAAAGGTCAACACAACCTATATATTGATCTGCTCATTTATTAACTCAACTCATTTTGATCCAACAAATTTGTTCATAAAAAAGTTTTGCTGATTTGACCAAACGTAACTCAAATTATACTATGAAAAATTTCATCAAAATATTCTTTAAAAAAATTTAAAATAAAAAATTGATGTGTTATAAACCACCATATTAATAATAAAAAACTATTAGGTGCTAAATAAATTATTAAAATATATAAATAGAAATTGAAACTTGATCAAAGTTTGGATTGGTCATTGACCCGTTATTTAACCCATATGAGCTTACGTAACTTTTTACTCGGTCATTACCCGTCCACTTATTAACTCGTTCCCCTTTTATAACTCTTCAAATTCAATTTAACCTGACCATTTGATACCTAGATATATAATATTACATCTTTGGCTTAAAGCTGGTTATGAAGCAAAATATATACTTCCTCCATTCCATATTAATTTAATTTTTGAGGCATTTTCCATTTTTTAAATTAACTTAATTATTCAGTTTTCAAGACTACTTTTAGAGTGTTCTCCAATTTTACCCTTCATTAGTTAGTATTGGAATTACTGATTAATTAATAGTTAGTTATTTTAATCATAAATTTGACAATAATTAATAAAGGTAAAAATGAAAAACTAGGTTCAATTTATGTCTTAATCTACTTTTTTTAAAGGGTGTAAAACACCTCAAAAATTAAATTAATATGGAATGGAGAGAGTATTAAAGAAGCCTTACCAGACAATAGAAGGAGAGAAAGGATACCAACTTTGTAAAAGGCCATTGTATGTTTTTTTTTTTTTTGAATTTGCTGCTTAATTTGAGGATATTATCCTCTCTTAATATATGCTATTTATAGAGCAAAATAAAGTTACTAAAATACAACTAGGAATTAATAAATACACCAAATTTGGATTAACTTACACAGTTGTCAAAGTGGACCAATTGTGAATTAATCAAAGCTAACTCAATGCAGCCTTCACATTGGATTGCACGACCTGACTGTTTGAATTTTTGGTATACAATCAATCTCTCGGTAACTATGAAAAATCGATTATAAAGAAAACTTAATTGTTAGAGTAAAATGTTACTTTGTCTCAATTTATATGTTATAATTGAAATTTCAAGAATAAATCAAGTTTTTCTTTGATCAATTTTTTTTCTTTATGTCTTTTAGATATTTTAACTTGTTAACTATGTAATTTATAGTACTTTTTTATTTTTTAAAAAGTAACTTCAAATTTTTATGTCCAAATTCACGAACAAAATTAGAGAGAATGATCATCATAAAAAAAGTTTGAATGTACTTTTATTTAACAAAAAGGCTTATGTTTATCCCATACATACGTGTTTGAATTTTTGGAATGATACCTTACTTTTACGTAAATTTTTACTCAAGCCATTAGATTAATATTTAATACACAAAAAGTGAACAAAACTTTGACAAATCATAGTTTGCACAAGTTCATCTTCAACTAATTAAAATAATAAAAGAGATGACAAGAGAACAAAAATTTATCATGTACACATTGAACAACTTAATTTAGATCTGTATTTGTTAATAATAAATTATTAATCCCTCCATTTTTATTTATGTGTCATCATTTTAAATTTCACATGTCTTAAAAAATTAAATAAATTTATCATTGTATCCTTATATAGTGATCTCTTGAATGTCAAGTTTTCTATAGATGAGTTACTAAATAAATTGAGTTACTATTATGTTTTAATATAATTGTATTTGATGTCAAAGCTAAAACTACTAGAATTTTGATATTACCACATAATTCACATCTCAATTAAAAGTGAAGGACAAACTAGCCGTCTTGAAATATCACAAGTATTGAAGGACAACATTTTAACTATGTAGAAAATCTCTAAAAAAAAAAAAAACTTTAATTTGCACCGATTCATATCAGTTCGGTTTTGAAGTTTATCGATTTAGCTTATTGGTTATCGATTTGTAAACATGCTAAACCGTTATAGAATTATTAAGCTATAGATTGTTATCAGTTATTGAAATCATTTAGAAATAAGGTGACAAATTAAATGAATCATGCACATGAACCAAACTTTTTAACAAATAACATAAAATAAAATGAAATAAACTTTTTAACCAATCAGATAAGATATCTTTGGTCTGTTCAAATCATCAATTCTTCTTGGTAACACATCTGATAGTGCAATCAAATCTCCGTTCATTGGTTTATACTTTCGTTCAAATTTCTTCCCCTCCATAGCTCTATTTACCAAAATATCATAATATAAACTTTTTGGAGGTTTAAAATATTTTGATTCTCTGACATCAAGAACCTCGAGTGCAGGGGCTCGTGAAACTGTGGTGATGTTTGAGAGCAAATCAGCATGTGTTTCTTCAATAAGTGGAGTGATGAATGACTTCATGTAATGATCAATCGATAAGAACGTCTCAGGAATCTCCATAACCTTACACATTTTGGGAACAAAAGATGACAAATCACAAACGAACTAGAGAAGACGAATGTTTCAAAATGAATATTTGTTTCAAATCAATATATGTTAAATGAGAATAGAGAAAGATAGAACAAGACTTGATGCCTTCCATTGTACAAAACTTTATGCATACTTGGCTCTTAGTCAGTGTAGTTATATAAGTGATCTGATTGTATAAATATTTTTCAACAATCATTAAACATAACTTAAAACACTATTCATAAATACTTCCAAGAAGAAGAAATATTCAAACCTTGTCTTTGTAAAGATCTTTGTTCAACACATCCCCTAAAGACCAAGAAAACACAAAATCTATCAACCCTGGGGGGCTTTTTTTCTCTGTTTTCTTTCTTGTAGTAGTTGTCAATGCCATTTTCCTAGTAGTCATCAAAACAAACAAAACATCAATTTTTTTTAGGATCTTCACACAAATAGTCGGACAGATTTACTATTTACTTTTTCTATCTGGTATACATAGACTATACACTGTCATACACATACTATAAAGGTAATAAATGAACTACACATATATTATACATCTTCCCTTGTAGTCATTAAAACAAACAAAAGAACAATTTTCTTATGGATCTTCACACAAATAGCCAGATAGATTTACTGTTTACATACACATATTATACATGAATTATACATGTATGACCATTTTCCCTAGAAGTCATCAAAACAAACAAAAGATCAATTTTCTTAGGAATCTTCACACAAATAGTCGGACTGATTTAGTGTCTACTTTTTTTCTAGTTGATATACATAAATTATACACTATTATACACATATTATACTAGATTATACAAGTATGACCATTTTCCCTAGTAGCCATCAAAACTAACAAATGATCAATTTTCTTAGAAATCTTCACACAAATAGTCGGACTGATTTGATGTCTAATTTTTTTATAGTCGATATACATAAATTATACACTATCATACACATATTATACTGGATTATACAAGTATGATCATTTTCCCTAATAGTCATCAAAACAAACAAAAGAACAATTTTTTCTTAGGAATCTTCGCACAAATAGCCGGACTGATTTACTATCTACTTTTTTTCTAGTCGATATACATAGATTATACACTATCATACACAGATTATACTGGATTATACATCTTCTAGTAGTCATCAAAACAAAACATTATTTTTTTAAACATGCAA